TCAGGCCTTTTCATTGCAGGGTCGTGGTATTTCTGGGGCGCTGTCATTGTTCTTTAAAACGAAGGAGCGGGAAAAAGCCTCTCCCTGTGAGAGGAGCGGGATTAACAGAGTTAGGAATGCAGGAGCCTGCAGTTCGCTGGCTGATCCAGAGAAGACATCACGCGTGCTCGATTTCGGGTTTCACCCACAGGACATCTGCCTGCAGGCCTCCCACGACCTGGAACACAGGCATGATGGCTGAGGAGCCTTCAGAAGTGCCCGTGACAGTCCTTCCATTTCCTAACCTCCAGTTTCTCATGAATTTATCCTGTGTCAGGAAGCCATCGTATATGCTGGTGTTGGGCAGATTGCTTAGAGCAGCTCTGTCTGGTAGGAAAAAAAAATAAAAAAAAAAATATATATATATATATGAGATACACATGCAATTTTAAATATTCTAGTAGCTTTATTTATTTGTTTTTAATATATATATATATTTAATTGATTTCAGAGAGGAAGGGAGAGAGAGATGGAAACATCAGTGATGAGAGAGAATCATTGATCGGCTGCCTCCTGGACGCCCCACAATGGGAATTGAGCCCGCAACCTGGGCTTGTGCGTTGACCGGGAATTGAACCGTGACCTTCTGGTTCATAGATTGAAGCTCAGCTACTACTAAGCCAGGCTAGCCAGGCTCCAGTAGCTTTATTAAAAAAAAAAAAATGTTAAAGAAACAAGTGCAAGTTAATCTAATAATATTTTATTTTGAATATTCTATATCAGTTAATTTTAGTTATTCATGGTGCACTTATTTTTTGCTACTAAATCATTGAAACTGAGTGTGTGTTTTATACTTATAGTGCATCTCAGTTCAGGACTAGCCCTGTTTTGAGTGCTGAGCGGCCACACGTGTATTGGAGAGGCAGTTTTCAAGTGTGGTGCTTTTACCACCTTTACCATTTGGCTATTGGGCACATTGAACCTTTAGGCCATTATTATTGGCATCTTATAAAATCTGGCTACTCAATGATTATTTGTAATATTTTTATTACGAAGCAATGCTTTTCAGTAAGTATCCTGAGTATTGATTAGGGGACTCTGAAAAAAAAATTATTGGTCTCTCTCCATACATTTCTCTCCATAAAATGTATGAATGCTGATTTTGAAAAGAAGGAAAGCAGATGGCTCCCAGGGTTTGAGGGCTGTCAGACCCTTTAACCAGGCCGCACTGTGTATTCCTCACGGCGGCTCTGGGATGTGGATATTACCGCTTGCATTTTGCTGGGAGGAATTTGAGGTCGAATACATGATTTACAGTCATTCTCTTAGGGAAGGGGGGACAGTGCCCGGATTTGATTCTGGGTTTGCCTGCATCCTGACTCTGAGCTTAGTCACCCCATCCTCAGCCACCTCCCTCCAGGTCTCCGTGCTCGTGGCCGGGCAGCTCTTTCTCATCACACGCCCCTCAGAAGTCAGGCCGCAATGGCAGCGGCACTTTGGGCAGCACCAGTACTGACAGTTGGGAAAGCATTTTTCTGGGAGAGAGCACCTCCCGCTTATCTGGCCTCTATGACAACAGCATTCACCATGCAGCCCCGACGGCAGAACCACGTGTGGCTTTTTCCGATGGCCGTGGCTCTGTGCCTTCTCCTGCATTACACTCCCGGCTCCCTCCCCTCCCACAACTGTAAAAGGCTTAGCGAGGCTTCCGATCAAAGGCTCAAAGGTCTCCCTGATCATCTGGAAATGGGTCCGTGCTGCAGGCAGGAAACAGGCATGTGCTCTGGACTTGGGGCTGGGGAGCAAGGGCTGCTTTCCCTCCGTGGTTATTTCTAACTCTGGTTGTCAGAGCATTTGGGTTTTACACGGCTCTTCTCTCTCTTCTCTCATCCGACTTCTCTTGTGATTTCCCCCGTTCTTCATTCATGTTTGGAAGTGCTTTCCAAAGAGTCTCTGTATTTTCATCTGCTGCCACTTTTTCCTTTTTTCTTTCTTTTTTCTCATTTTGCCTGGAGAGAGGGAGAGAGTGTGTGTGTGTGTAGGGGGGCGGGCAGAGGGGGGCAGAGAAAGCAAACGGATAAAGCACCTTCTTTTGGAATACATTCGTACACATTCCTTTAGCATCTCCCCAACCCCCACAGAGTTGCTTCCAAAGGCTTTCAGAACCTGGACGCTAATGTTCTTCTTCCCCACAACTGACCTCGATTGTACTGTTTTTCATCTCTCTTGTCACTGTCCCTGGGAACGGATTTTGTTTTTCCTGTTGCCCCCTCCTTTTGTAAGGGTTGTACCTCATTGCAAAAATTTCATAACTGTTTGAAATCCTAGAGAAGAGGTACATTTTTCTAGGGATCAAATACAACCTGTTTATGATTTTCTTTGGTATCTCATACCTAGGGACTTACTTCAGAACACATTTATTATCGCACCCTTCTGGTTAATATTGTGTTATTTTATACATTACCTCAAAGCCCTTGCTTTTTTCTTCCTAACAAAGTAGGGGATGCCTGTCAGGAATGGGTGTTTGCTCTTTGATTCCGAGGGGTTATGGTTATCATGTCAGACAGCAACTGCTTCCTCCAATCACTGAACTAAAATGTTTGGGAGGGATTTTGGTCACTGACACTTCATGGAGTAGACCCCTGTGCTACCTTGCTGTATTTCATATTGAGCTCATTGAACTATGAATACCGTATTTAAGAATTAATAGGGTCTTAAGTTTTCTCCATCGACCCTGCACTTGAGGAGGATTTATGGTTCCTGAGGAATGGCTCCGTAATAGGTCCCCGAGCCCCTGGACTGACGGGAAGGTGTTCTCTGTGACACTCAGGTTTGGCATTAGGAACTGCACCTGGATTGTCAGCATCGAGACTCATGTACACGCAGGTGTCAGTGGAGAGGTGGCTCATGGCACCCCTGCCGACATGGCCCTATGTGTGCATGTTTTATATTGAAATCTTTAAAAGTAGAAATCCACCTGCTTCCTCAGACAGAGCGTAGGTACCCGTATGTGAGAGCTAAAAGGTCCAAAGGGGGGCTGCTCCCTGCCGGGGGAGCCCCTCAGGAGGGGGTCCTATAAAATGCTGTTATTCTTGCTTCAGAAGATTTTACAGCCACTGCAACTGCATGGAGGGCAGCAGCCAATCAGACTTGCTCTCACTTGTCTTCCTGGTGCCATGGGGGACACCTGGCACCCAGTAGGTGCTCAGGGAATACACATGGGATACCTGAATGAGATAGTTGGGGGGAAATCTAATTTTTACTATTCATTTTTACGTCTTCCTTACATTTGGGAATACACTGGGCATAAAGAAATAAATAAGCATTTCTTTAAAGATGTATTTTGTAAGGCACCCCGTGGCTGCATTCTCTAATTTGTCCAGAACCTTCAGTCTGCTCCATCCTTATTTCCTCCTTCCCATAAGTCACCCATCGATGGTGCCTTCAGTCTGAGCAGTGCCAGTGCTTTGCTATGTCCAGAGCAGAACCTGAGTCAGAGATGATGCGGTGTGACCTGTTAGACTCTAGAGTGTTGTGCCGGCTTAATACCGATTACCACGATCCCTAATGATAGCAGCTCCTAATGAGTGTTATTACTGTTAATAAGGATTGCACTTAATAATGACACCCAATACTTAGTATCTTTAATAATAATAATTAGCACCTGGGAACCAGTCGTGCCTTTATATTATCTTCAGAACAAAAACCTGTGAGCTGGAGTGTCTGCTGCCTCCTTCTCTGTCCAGATGGGCGTGAGTCAGGCTGCCCGGGTCCGGCCACATTGAATCTTTGAATACTGCTTTGTGGTTTTGATGTGATCCATTCATTAAAAAAAAAAAAAAAAAAAAAAAAAGAAGAAAAAAAAAGGCACAGCATGGTGCAGAGGGGTCCTCTTCAGAGGGAGGGGCCTTCACAGAGACACGCACCCTCATCCCCCCCTCCGCCTGCCCCCCATCCTTCGGAACTTTGGATCTTCTTGCACAAAATGAAGACCAGAGCCCATTGTGAGCCCGTCACATCCCCATCGGTGCAGGTCCCATGGGACAGAGTCCGTGCTTATTGCTTGTATGCTGGTGAAACGTCGATCTTCTCATGCCTTGGCTATGTTTAGATTCAAACTCCTGTACAACTTTATTTTATTTTATTTTATTTTTTTAAATAAAAAAAACACAGTGTATAAAAATCTTTGGCAAATTAAGCATTTTTTAGCATTTCACACTTCGATACAAAGCAGAGAAATATTTCAGTGACAACAGATTTCAACAGATTTTTTAACGAGGCTAATTTGCTTTATTCTTTGGGGGAGTTTACTTCTTTTCTCCGAAAACACAAGGAGAGACAGTCCCCCTCCCAGGGGTCATGGGTGTAGGCGGATAAAAATCGTAATATTAAAGAAGACAGAGTTTTTTCATTCCGATGAATATGGTGGCCTGAGCTCACCATCCGTCCAGGCGTTCAGGGACGGGTTATTGCAGGCTCACGGATGGCCTATTTATCAGGATTTAGAAACGTAAGATAGACAGGAGAAGCGGCTCTTCCACGCCTTTTGAGGTTCTGGTACAGGGTCACACCATGGCACAGGCCCTGAAGTCCAGCCTACTGTCCTACTGGGAAATGTACAGCCCTCTCCGACCAATGCAGATCTGACCTGGAAATACTCATCCTGATGGATAGTTAATGATAAAACCATGGACTGGAAGGGGAAGGGTATATGGGGGGGGGGGGCCCACAGGCCACCGCCTGGACCTCACCTGTGTGCCACCTGGGAACTCGGGTGCGGCCCTCCACTTAATGACTAGCATCGGAGGCCCCTGCCATGGCCGGGGCAGGCTGGCCGGGCCTGAGGGCAATAAAGGAGGGAGGACAGCTCTCCCATTAGGCCCACCTGACGAGAGGCTTGTGCAATCTAAACCCTCACGGGTCACAGATGAGTGGCTTTTACGACTGTCGTCTCTTCCCTGGCGGTGACCGAGCTGCGCCCGGTAATGTTTGCGTTCTGCTCTTGCCCCGTGTCCCCCCAGGGCTGATGATTCCTGTCTTCTGCGTGGTGGAGCAGTTGGACGGCTCTCTCGAATATGACAACAGAGAAGAACACGCCGAGTTCGTGCTGGTTCGGAAGGACGTGCTCTTCAGCCAGCTGGTGGAGACAGCGCTGCTGGCCCTGGGCTACTCCCACAGCTCCGCGGCCCAGGCCCAAGGTACGGTCCTCCGCCCTCGGCCGCATGCCTCTGCCGTGCTGGTGCGCAGAAGGGCGTGTTCCCGGAGTCATTCTCCCAACAAGGATTGGGGGAGGATGGATGGTCCAATGGAGCATCTTGCTCAAGCAGTGAGCAGCAGAATACTTTGCGCAAAGCCTTTTCTAAAAAAAAATTAAAAAATGTATTTTTATTGATTTCAGAAAGGAAGGGAGAGGGAGAGAGAAGCATCAGTGATGAGAGAGAATCATGAATCGGCTGCCTCCTGCACTCCCCACACTGGGGGTCTAGCCTGCAACCCGGGCCTGTGCCCTGACCGGGAATCGAACTGTGACCTTCCGGTTCATAGGTCGGCGCCCAATCCCTGAGCCACGCTTGGCAGTGGAGTCTCATGTTCTGGTTGCGTTAGGAAAGATTGGACCAGCACCTCAAGTGCCCCCCAAATCGCCTTGCATTTCAAATGGATCCCCCCACGGTGCTTCTGATGGTTTGTTTTTCATTGATAACTGCGGTATTTCCCCGAAGTCCCCAAGATGGGTATGTTTTTGAGTTGGGATTGAGGCGTTTCATCCCTAACTTGCTAAACTTTAGCACACGATTTATAAGCGCTCATTTAAAAAAAAAATGTGTTTACTGCAACTTCCGCACTTTATAATCAGCTTTTCATTAAATAGGCAAAAAATGGATGCATCTGATTTTTGTGTCTTTGAATACTGCTTTGTGGTTTTGATGTGATCCATTCATTAAAAAAAAAAAAAAAAGAAGAAGAAGAAAAAAAGAAACCTCAGAGTTATTGTGATCAATCCCTCTTACCTATTTAATTGGGTATTGGAACGGCATCGGGATTTCAGCGTGCGTGCGGCGCCCATTGTTCTCCTGCCAAAGGACACACAGAGCAAACAACAACAAAAACAGCCCCAACCTTGAAGAATAGAAAAAAAAATTTTTTTGACTCGATGGAATGCTTATCCTTGTTTTCCAGCTGAAATGACTGAGTTGCATAGTTTATGACAATAGTTACAACTAGAGGAGAGAAACCTGGGACTGAGGGGTTTTGCTTTCTATCCCAGTTTCCTACGTCTGCTCCTGTCGATGGCCATCTTCACCGTGTGGATGTGCCAGGGGCCTTTGCTGTTTTGCGGATGAGTTCCCCTTCTAGAAATCCCTAAGAACTGTCAGTCAGAACATCTATTTGTTCCGATAAGGACACCAGGGGAGGTGGAGCTGTCTGTGCAGAGTAACAAATAGGGTGACCGAGGACACGGGGTTTCAATGCTCAAGCTCTGGACCCTGATTTTGTAAGCTGATCATTTATCACCTTAAAAAATGCTGTCATGAAGTATCTGAATTCTCAGTTCTACCAAGATAACCACCCCTCTGGAAACAGGGGGGTCCAGGAGATCGGACTCCTGTGAGCCCAAGTGCCTTCCGAACCCCACCTGGAGCGCCAGGCAGGCCGCTGCCGCCTACAGAGCATGGTGGCACCCACTGCTCCGCCTACAGCCCATCCTGGCGTCCGCTGCTGTCCCAGCAGCTCAGGGAAGGAGGGTCCGGCTCCTTTCCCTGAGGGCCTTCCTTCTGGTGGGAAGGATTCAGGAGGTGATCGCCAGCAAATTGCCCGCCGGCAGCACGCTTTCGTTCCACGCTATGGAATAAAGGGTTCGCCCCTCCTCCCCCCGCTCAACGTTTCATGCCATTTTAGGGATATTTCTCTCTGAATGTAAAGGTCATTGTCTCCCACTGCTTGCATCCTGGCGTGCCAGCTTCCTGCCTGACAGGCTATCCATCTCCGTTAGCAGGCTGCTCAGTGCGCCGTGAGCCCACATGTGGAGCGCGCAGCGCTAAGTGGCCGAGATTCGCTTTTTGGCACGGGCCCCGGGAAGGGGCGCAGGAAGTGTGCACTGGGCAGCCACGCCGTTCCGCCCAGTGGTGCGGACGAGAGCCCTGCACACACACACACACACACACACACACACACACAGCCGCCCAGTGTGGCCTGCTGGCAGGAAAGACCGGCTGCAGTGGAGACTTACACTGTGGGCAAGTTAAAAGCGAAGGTCCGCCTCCCCAAAGTTGGTGAAAACCTGGGTTTAAAAAACTCAAGCTATTGCACGTTTAAAACGTTGAATTGCCGTTCGGAAGGAGCCCTGGGTCACAGTCGTGCTTTAATTGTGTAGCTAAGCCAAAGTCTTACTCACTAGCTCCTGCCCCGCAGCCTCACAGAGGGAAGCCGAAGCCGCAGGGTGTGCAGTCTGCTTTGCATCAGGCTGCTCGGTCTCTGCGGTGGGCGCCCGGGAACACTGAGCATCGTCTGCTTGGAGCCCAGTGCATTAGGTCTTTGCTGTCCTTTACATCATGGGGGGTCTGCCCATTGGCTGCTTGTTGTTATGGAATGAGCAGAGAGCATGATGGGACGGTCGGGCAGCAGAGTGGGAGGAGGCTGGGAGAGGCAGCAGGGCAAAGTGTGGCCTCGGGTTCGAGGCCTGAGGTTTCACGTCTCTCGTTTTCTGGTTTGTTTGGTGTTGGTTCTGGCTGTGAGTGTTTAGGCAATTCCCCAAAGGGTGGGGAGCCACCAGCCAGTCCTCTGCCGTCTGGGATGGCCTGTCCCGAGCCCTTCCTGCGGGCAGAGCCACGCTGTGGGGAGCAGACTCCGTGCACCTGCTGTGGAGCTGGAGGCCTTGAGACCCGATCTTCCCCGTGGCCGTGGCCGTGGCCGTGGCCGTGGCCAGAAACGAGTTGCAGTCATCGGGGTGGAATGGTACTCGCGGTGCCTTTAAAAGACAAGAGGGCTTCGCGGTGCCATTAGTTGGGAGTGATGCTCAAGTCCCAGTGATGGGCCCGGGCCCACGCTCCTGGGTGTGGGGCGATCCCTTTTTCTTGTTTTCAGGTTGTAATCAGGCCCCTACACATGGCCCAGGCTTGTGGAACTGTTGTTGGGGACAGTAGAAAGAACCTGACAGAGGATTTTATTTTTATTTTTCCTATTGTTCTAGTTTTATTGATTTATTTAAGACTTTATTTTTATGTCGACATGATTATAGATGTCCCTTGGTCCAACGCCACCTCCACCAGCACCCCCACCTTCACCAGCGCCCCCGCCTCCACCAGCACCCCCACCTCCACCAGCACCCCCCACCTCCACCAGCACCCCCACCTCCACCAGCACCCCCTACCTCCACCAGCACCCCTACCTCCACCAGCACCCTCACCTCCACCAGCACCCCCCACCTCCACCAGCACCCTCACCTCCACCAGCGCCCCCACCTCCACCAGCACCCCCACCTCCACCAGCACCCCCACCTCCACCAGCACCCCCACCTCCACCAGCACCCCCACCTCCACCAGCACCCCCACCTCCACCAGCACCCTCACCTCCACCAGCACCCTCACCTCCACCAGCGCGCCCGCCTCCACCCCCCACCTCTTCTGGGAGAGGCAGTTTCTTTTTCTGAGAGGGCACGGCCTCTCAGAGGTTGTATTGATAAAGACTATTTACTTCCAAAGGATGATAGATGCTCCACTAACATGGAATTCAGAGATTTCCAACTCCCACCCCTACCCCCTTTTCATAGTAACCTTCTTTATTTCAAACCAGCAACTGGTTCCCAAGAGAGAGACAGGCACGGGATACGTCATACATCACAGGCACTCTGCTCGCAGCCTACCCAGAGCCCGCACCTCCCAGCACACACGCCAGGAGCTGCGATTGTCAGGGCTGTGAGCTACAGGACGCAGCTGATCTGCTGCTTTGTGTATGCAAAGCGCTGAGGATGGCAGGCTCTTAGCTTTCCCCCGGAGAGGTGGGCTACACTGCAGTGAGCAGCAAGGACATTTTATAGGGCACAGGAGGCTGTGTGTCCCTGTCTCTCAGCTGAGTCTGCTGGTCTCTTGGAAGAGGGCTGTGACCCTACGAGACTTCTATGCAGAAACCCCCATTTTCTTTTCCCACTTAAACTCATCACTCCATTCTTCTCCTTCCCCTGCCCTCCCCTGCCCTCTCCTCCCCTCCTTTCTTCCCTTCTCCTCCTCTCTCCTTCCCTTCCCTCACTCTCCCAGAGTAATGCAACTATCACTACAGTATTAATTATATAAAATTTCACATATAAGCACAGAAAAAAAAGGTCAGGAAATATATTATGTCAACAGGGTGGATTAAGTGGGATTTTATCTTTTTTTTTTTTTTTTTAAATCAGAAAACAGTATATAAATAGGAAATTCTACTTCATGAATTCTTCTCTGAAGAAGTAGGAAGTTTCTGCTTTATTCCCCCATTTTGATAATCCGTTCACGTTGTCCCTACTTTATCTGTAAATGTGAAAACTTGTACATGGTACAGATGCATTTCTCTTGTTTTATTCTGTTCCAGATTTTAAAAAGCCAGTAAGTCATGCATAGGTCCCTATGATGTATAAACCAAGGCATTCCTTAGAGTCTTCATAGTGCTAGGTGACTCTGACTGAGCAGCTGCTCTATGTCAGACACTGTTCTAGAGGTTTCCATTCACTGAGTAATTTCATTTTCATAACAGCTCTTTTAAGTAAACTTTGTTTCCCATTCCACAGATGAGGAAACTGAGGCGGATAAACAGGGGACTAATGTTCCTTGTGGTATAGGACTATCAGAGTCCTTCCCCACAGGCTGTCCTGTGACAGACGTGATCAGTGGGAGTTTAGTTTATATTTATTAGATAATGACAAATTATGCATATTTTATTTCTATGATGTAATACATAGAGATGGTTTTTCAAGATAAGCAAAACATACTTCATTAAAAACAAATTAAATAAATAAAAAAACCAAAAAAAACCCTCACAGAATTAATGTCTACTGCAGGTTGTGTAATGAATATACAATTCTTGCTTATGAGGCCAGGATGATTCCTGATATGAAAAGAAAGCACATTGCTTGGTGATTCTGATCTTCAAAAGTAATTAATTCAGCAATATTTAGTGCCTGCCACGTGCCAGTCACTTTGCTAGATTCTGGGGGTAAAAAACTGGGGGG